GGGGGGGGGGGGGGGGGGGGGTCCCTGTTGCCTCAACCAAACCTTCGACATTGCCCAACCCTTTCCTCCAAAACCCGCAGAGGATATACGGAGCAATTAGCACCAAAGCTCCCGAAAAAGCTCCTCGAGCAACAAGGTAGCAGGGTTTAGGGCCTAGAGTTTGCAAGATCAAGCTGCAAGCCCGAGGGGAGCCGACCAGCCCAGCCCTCCGGGCCGCAGGTATCTCTGCCTCGGCTCTTCTGGAACAGCCACTTAGGGTTTAGGGTTTAGGGACTACCTGCTTCTAGTGGGAGGATGTAGCAGTGCTGCTATTCTCGCGGCTGCTGCGGCTACCATTTGTGGGTACGACCTCGCGCAGGCTCTGAGCCTCAAACCTACCATGCTCGTTCAGTGTTAGCGGGGATCTGGTTTGAGTTCTGCTTTGGTTTGGGTTTCTCTTGGTCCACTGAGATCTGATCTCATGTCCTTATTCAATCCAACGGTTCAGGGTTCGGACTCTCGCAACTCGCACACAAACCATCGCAGTGTCAGGGCTCCGTCTCATACAGGGACCTTACGAAATAGAACAGGGCTTTAGGATAGATTAAAGTGAAAATACCACGAGGAACCCTAAAGGAAGAAGATTGGGAGCCCCTTCCACCAATCAGCGGCTCCCCCCCCCTTTGCATCGAAGCCACAGGCCGCATCCCAGGGAATGCGGTTCGCAAGAGAAGCTTCCTTGGCTTCTTCGGCGGCTTGCTTTGAAGATTCTAGCGTTTCTAGCGCCCTTTGCAAACTTGAAAGCTCTAGTGCAAAGAGAGCGCAGAAGGACATGTCAGTGACTTCGCTTTCATGATGCTTAAACCCACAGCCTCAATGCTGGAACTCCTTTTGCCAATTTGAAGGAATGCTCTCGACATGTTGGCCCAAAGCTTCGATGCTTAAGCCCGATGGGAAGTTGAAGTGCAGCTCCGCGCTGCTGTCGTTCACCGCAAGCCTTCTAGGGCTTCGGGGTTTAGGGGTTTAGGGTTTAGGGTTTAAGGTTTAAGGTTTCGACTCTCACACTCGCACGCAGCAGGCAAGGCTCATGGTTTAGGGTTTAGGGTTTAGGGGTTTAGGGTTTAGGGTTTAGAGGCTACGCGAGACGCCACAAAGCTCCGGCTGGTTGCTGCTCCCTAGACGTGCGATCATTTTTGCTTGTGTACACGTGCACCTCGCGGTACGAAGACGAACAAAACAACATACAAATGCTGCCCGCCAAACAAAAGAGCAAAAAAGCAACCAGCACACACAAACGCAATCAGCTTGGAGAGCACAGGGATAACACTGGGAAATACTCAACACTCCGTGGAGTCACAAATCTATCAACAAACAGTCATCCTACCTCCGCATCTCATGACACCAAACCAAAAGTGGATCAATGAATCAACCACAAAAAAAGTCGCACCCCGTCCTGCCTCCCGACCTCGGACTCCACGACGAAGACGGCCGGCTGGTTCCGGGGAAGCTCTCGGTCCACGGGACGCCCTCGGTCCGTAATTCGGACCGAGGCCTGCGCCGGGAAGACCTGACTTCATACTGGGACAGAGGGGCCCAGGGGGATTGGACAGGGGCCATGCCTAGGGTTTAGGGTTTAGGGCTCTGGGACAAAAAAAATCAGGGCCTACCACGGCTTAGGGCTCCCATCCCATGTTGGAGCTGAGCTTACGGCGCCACACCTGCTCCGTGAGTATGGTGCCGTTGCTGTGGGAGACCAGAGCGGCAGCCCAGCTGGAAGAGAAGTTGGCGGAGCCCTTGGCCTGGTAGCTGGCAACGATGACGGCCACGCTCCTGTTTGCATGGTCGTCAGTAATCCGGGTGAACCAGCCCTCGAACCAAGGCCCCTCCCGGTGCACCGGGAGGGGCTCAAAGGGAGAGGCACGAGAGAGTGCTGCGGCACAGAACACAACGCGCCACATGCTGGCTCTTCCAAATGATGGTCAACTTCAGGGTCCCATGGACCATCTGCCGCTAAAACGAGAACAAAAACCTGCACACTCATAAGTACCTGAAACAGTTACCATGAGTGAAAGCCTTAGAAATGGAGCGTCTGCCGTGTTGTGACTGTGGCTTGCAGCATAGCTTGAGGGTTTTGGGCTTTGGGCCGCAAAACGGCCGCGAAATGCTAGGCCACTTGAGACTCTGGGCTGCAAAGATACTCGGACTGATCACAGAGCCCAGAATCTATGTTCCCCTTAGCCACGGCAGGTTGGAAGAGATGGGTAGGCACACCTGGAGCTGGGCTGTCTTCGTCAGCACAATAATTAACAAAAAAGAAAGGCCTTGTGCACGAATGCATTCCAGGGAGAAAAGCTCGGTGTCGCTTGGAGGCGCCTCTCGCTGAGCTGGTAAAGACTGGATCTCAAATCTCTCCTTTGAGTGCGCTTCCGGGTTCATGGGCAGTTTCAAGTTAAGTAGTACATTTCGGGGTACAACCATAATTCGCTAGTCTGTAGCTCTGCAACAAGCTACAAAGCGCAGCACATCTGAAGGATACACGAATGCAAAAAACCTGAACAATCACCCTTACAATCTTCCTGGGAGTTCTTTCTTTTGTATCTTCCGAAGACCTGTTCATACGCACTTAGCACTCGATGTCAGGAGCCTCTCGCTTCGGTTCGTATGAGACTTTCCGAGTTCAGGATTCGGATGTCCTGTACCGGTGCAGGCAGGGCTTTTGCACTTCGGGGGGCTCGGGGGGGAAGGGGTGGAGGGGGGTGTGTTACTTCCATCATGTCCCACGCTTCACTTGTTGTGCACTTCATAGAGAGCCGTACTGCTTAAGAACGTGTCATGTCCGAGCTTTCGCGTCACTCAGGAGGCAAGCAAACTACCCCGTCTTGCACTCTTCCCGGTCAACTGACCAACTGGTCAAAGAGAGTCAGAAGCTTCGAAGCTTGCAATGTGTGAACAACTGACCCCACAACCCGCGCAAGACTTGGTTCAAAACACGAAAGCATCGAAAGCCCGCACGCAACAGCGCACATCTACTCATAGAAACAACAAAAAGGCCAACCGAAACCCTACCTAAACACCACCCTAAACCCCAAAATCGACCCCCCCCTGCTTCCCAAAGCAGCGCCTGCGGCTTCGGAGCCTGGGCTCGACGGGGACTCCCGGCCGCGGGCATGGGCGGCGGCTCCGGCCGGGGCTCCTGCAAGGGCGGGGCGGGCTCTCTTCGGTTTAGGGATTTGGGTTTAGGGGTTTAGGG